GTAATAGATATGTATGATACTGGGGGGAAATGGGGCGGCAGATTGGGGGAGGGGGGTTGTCACTTCAAGGGGTAAAAAGTGTAACTATTGCACTGTGTTGTACAGCTGAAACTAATTCTAAAAAATGTGTATTTCATAATAAAAAATAATTTAATAAAAAAATAAATTAATTTTTAAAAAAAGCACAAAAAAATAACAACAAAAAAACATAATGCAACTCACTGAAGGGTGATAACAGTGATATAATAAAAATGTACTCCCTCCCCCCAAAGTGGAATTACTAAGTCAATACGATTCTATTATATTTTCCCCAAAATAACATTAATCAAGACTCTTGTGGGCGTATTAGCACGCTCATCACCAATATCTCTGTAGAAGAGAAGGTCAGAAAGACATCTGTTGGCCTGACCAGGCCTAGACAGCCTTTGCTGTCACCTCAGGGCTGGACTGCAGCTCATATTCTATTACTTAGGTGCACACACTGAGGAAAATAAAAAGAGCTAGATAAATGATGCATTACAAGAACATTTTACAATCATCTTAACTCTGTGTTAATGGAAACATCCCCACTAATGAAATTTTCAATAGATGTTGCTCAAACCACCCTCCCATGTTATACTACATGTGTCCATTTCTTGTACCGCTGCCAACAAGTATTTTGAAAACTGCTTTGTCTATCTTTCTACTGACCTGTTTGACAAACCCATGACTTTCCCTTTCTTAACACAAACCAAGAAGGTGAGAAACAAAACCAGTAAGTGAGATTTCAGTATTAGCTCCATGATAGTCTTACATGAAAGTAATAAGTAATAGCCTCAATTACTAAATATCTCTATTTTACTTCACCTTAAGATTTCTAAGTGTATTTAGGTAACACAGAGACGAATATAAAAATAAATGTATACTAAAAATATCAAAGACCAAGTTTGTAGAAGATTTCAAATACCTTTCTGAAAACATTAGACCTATATTTTAGAAGTATTTCATCCCTCCTTTAACAATATATACATTTATAAATATGTGAGTATACAGATAAACAGACCTTAATGAATGAAGTGTTCTTGAAAATTTTATATGGAAAACCGGTTAGCTTTAATTTCTTCACAATTTTTATGGATTTATCCAGATCAAGGACAACTCCAGTGGCAGCAATCCGGAAATCAGGCTAAAAAGGAAACACCCAAAATTTGAATACAGGGATAACATCAGCAGGAGAAAAACTACAATTCTCTGTAATACAACAAATTACCAAAGTACATTTCACTTACAATCAGCTATCAAAGAACAAGAAAGAATATCTGAACATGCAAAACAGTATTTTAACAAAAGTAATGTGAAACTATAGTATACATAAGCCCAACTAGTGACGAGGTCTTCAGTATTTTCCTGAGGGTGACTTCATAGTAACATAATTTCAAACAATGACCTATTTGGAATGAAAAGGACAATGAAAATTTGATTATAATATTTAAGAAATGTAATTTTGGACCTCCAGGGTGGATTCCATCTGCTCGTTATTCTGTTTCTTTTCTGTGAAATGGGGCCCATAAAACCTGCTCTGGTTAATCAGATCAAAGCTGTGTGAACACACTTTGCTAACCTGACATCACAGGGCTGACTGCATGTCCAGATGGTGTCCGATACACCCCCAGAACCTGGTACAGTAGTTAGAACATGGCAAGCACTGTTTAAATATATTTAGAAAAATAAGTCCAAAAAGTACCTTAAAATATTAAATGTCATCAGTACCACCACAATTCTGCTTCTACCTCCCTCTACTCCCACAACCTACTTAAAGAGATGTAGAAAAATGAAAAGCAAAGAAATTAGCTATATATACTCAAAAGGATTAATTGTCAACTTAAAGTTGCAGGTACTTATTCCATATTCAAGATATATTTCTCAAACACAGGCTGTAAAATAAAACATCTAAGATATTTACCATTATGCCACTGACAGACTGTACTGCCAAGAACCCAGTTCCTTGTGGAGTGATAGGACCTTAAATAAAACAGAAAAAAATATATAATGAACCACAAAATTTGAAATCTGTTTTACATACATACTCCAATCCAAAAGAGAAAGAAAAATCTTACAAATTAGGATTTCATGAAAAAGACAAAACTATAATGATAAAGCCTAAAAGGTTTTAATTAACCTAAAACCAAATTATCTGAGTCACTTTTACCCCAAAAGTTTGCTCCACAATGCATGTGCTGTGGGGTATATTTTAGAAGCCTTTGTCTTCCATTGTGGTCTTCAATATAATAGAGTGGGATAGTCTGAAACCTCCTCCATCCTACAGAAAAAATGATTGGATCACGGGACTTGAGGATTTTCTTATACCAACGATGTTTCTTCAGACGCACCTGAGGTGGGAAGAGATTTCAGTAAGATTATTGGTGGAAGTTATGTCCAAAAGCCCAACTAATTGTTGAGTACAAAGCAAGGGTACCTACCTGTACATATCCAACGTTGCCCTCACTACTGCCCAAACCACCCACAATAATTGGGTAATGGGGGTCAAAGTTAAGCACGAATTCACAAGGGACATTCTCTATCTCAATTCGGACATACATCCCAGGTCGAAAGCCCTCATATTGAACTCTGGCTTCATCATCTTGATCTTCAAACTCTGCCTGGTTAAGCTATATATGAGAGGGGGAAAAATAAAAACAATAAAAACCCAAAATGCTGTTATCATTGATAAATGTAAGACATTAAATGTTTGACATTTAAAAAAATGAGCAATTTCTAAATAAAGGACCCATGAACAGAATTACTTAGGCTTTAACCTAATTATAAATAATATACATTTTATCTTCAAAATTTGTTCTGGATATGTCCCAACAATTTTCTTCTTGGTTGTTCCAAGGTACAGCAAATGTGAACAACTCTGAAACGAGCCCTTAATGCCATCAGCAACCACCCTCCACCTCCCCAGTCCACACATTCTTTTCTTACTCTCCAAACAATTACTTCATTTTCTCTCCTTTCTTCAAAAACCCCAGTACCTACATTCTCACTCTTAGCTGTTGACTGTCTCCTAATTCACTAAGCCATCTAAACTGAGCCATCTAAAAGAACTGCCACAGCCAACCCCTCTACCAGCGTTTACACCCATATCTAGCCTTTCAGTATAGCTCTACATTGTTCAATATGGTAGCCACACATGACTTTTTAAGTCGAAATTAATTAAAATTAAGTAAAAAATAAAAAAATTCAGTTCCTTAGTCACATTAGCCACATTTCAAGTGGTCAGTGTCAACACGTGGCTAGTGGCTACAATACGGTACAGCACAGATACACATTGCTCTTATCACATTCTACTGGTGGCTCTTATAGATTATTTATCAACGCCTCCATTTAATATCAAGCTTCACTTGCACATCAGATAGATATCATCCACTCTTGGACTTTATTTCAACATATCTTGCCTATTATTCCTTTCATCTTAAAACCTTTTGACTCCACTTCCTCCAACTAGTCCCCCCATTTCTCTGCTTCTCTCTGAAGAAAAATGCCACAGAAATTGTCTATAATTGCAGTTTGCAGTTCCTCTGCTCCCATTCTCTTAAATTTCTTAAAACTGGTCATTAACCCACACTCCATAAAATTGCTTGCCAAAGTCATTCAAAGGCCTCCACGTTTCTAATCCAGTAGTCAATTCTGTCTTAATTGTAAATACGTTGCACGATTTAAAACAATTAATTACTTCCGTCTGTAATAGCCTCCGGCACACCTCATATTCTCTTAGATTTCTTCAGTCTCCTGAGCTCTACTCAGCCCCCACTGCTGTGTCTGCCTTGCTGCCAGCCTCCTACACAGGAGGACCCAGTGTCAGTCCTGGTCCTCCCCTCTCCTGTCTGTGCCCGTTCCCAGGTCACCCCATCCATGCCACAGCGTCAGTCAGCCTCTAGCCGCTGAGAACTGCACATCTAAGTCCTTGGCCCCCACCTCTCTCCATAACTCCTCACTGCCTACTTGACACCCTACTTGTCTGAAAGATAATTCAAACCTAAGAGACCTAAACTTCATCTTCCTGGACAAACCTACACCAGCTAGAAGGCTTTCTGTCTTACTCATGACAACCCAGTTCTTCTAGTAAGTCATCCTGACTTTCTCTCACGTACTCCACATTCAACCCACCAGGAAATCCCATTGGTCTGCCTTTTAAATAAAGTACACCCAGAACTTGGCCCTTCCACCTCCACTGCCACAAGCCTTCCCACCCCCAGGGTGAGTTCCCTTAATCTTGCTGGACTCTGCCAGAGAGCTGCTCTCAGAGATAATTAGGTCACACTTCTGTCTCTCCTCTGCTCAGATGGACTTCCATTTCATTCAGAGTGAAAAGTCAAAGCCCTTTACGATGGCCCACAGGTTCTAGGTGGTTTTATTGTACATTGTAAATGCCTAAAGCAAAGGCTTCAGAACTATGGGGCTGGCCGAGTGGCTCGTTGGTTAAGAGTTGGCTTGGGAGCGCGAGCTCTTAGCAGCAGGGCCGCGGGTTCAGATCCCACCAGTGACGCTGCGCCCTCTACAGCTAAGATGGTGAACAACAGCTCGACCTGGAGCTGGGCTGCCGTGAGTTGCCCATGACAGCGTAGGCTGCAGTGGGACTGCAGTGGGTTGCCGTAAGCTACCGTGAGTGGCTGGCAGCCAGCATGAGTGGCCGGCAGCCGGCGCCAGTTGCCGTGAGCTGCCGTGAGCGGCTGTCCAATGGCCAGCAACCAATCTGCCTCAGCGGGGAAGAGCACAATGATCAGAATACCAACATGAGCCAGTAAAGTGACCTCCTCCACAACTAGACTGAAAAACAAAAGGACAGCAACTTATCTGTTCCCCTTCTCCTATTCCCCAACGCTGTTCCTTCCCCCCAATTCCCCAATAAAATCTTAAAAAAAAAAAAAAAGGCTTCAGAACTAGCTTTACTTTCCTGGCTGCTTCTGCCAAAGGTCAGCACAGACTCAGAATCACTGTTAATGACTAACCAGGAAATGCTTCTCTGACTCAAAGAAGGCGTAGGTTGAGCAGAGCCTGTGGACCACATTTTCACAGATCACATACTCATCTTGCACAAGGCATACTGAGTATGGTCCAGCTTACAGAACTTCCTGGTGTCCCACTTGTCAAAGCACAACCCACACACTCACCATCACCTGCACATGCATCTCTGTGTATCTTTCAGAGTGAGTGCACTACCCTGCTCAGACTAGACTCTCTCCCTTTCAACATTCCACATGCACCCTTTTTCTCCACATCTGCCCTCAACTCGAAATATTCCCTGAACTCTGACCAAAGTGAGTTTTCAGAACATCTTTCCTGAAGAGCACTGGTGTGTACAGATGCTACACAGACCTAGAATCACCTGCTCATTCAAATGATTTAATTGCGGTTCCAGGGTGCAGGTATCAGAAGGCTAAGGCAATGCTGGCATTTAAATAAACATACTGCCTCAAGTCACTATACTGTAAGATTCTCAAAAGAGGCAGCAGTTCTCAGCCATTTCTGTTTCCTCAGCACTTAATGCTTGGGTCTTTCTGGTGAGTTTCTGGCTGAAGAAACAAGCTGGTGGCTGCATGAGTAAACAATCACTGCATCTCGACATAGGGTCTGAGTGAGAGGCACAGAAGCAGGTCAGGCAGCAGAGATCTGAAGAAAGTCAGGAATCCACAACACTGAATTACAGCCTTGGAATGAGGGTGACAGATCTGATTTCTTACCTGTGCTTGTTTCTGCATTTCTCCTTTAAGATCATCAAAGTACGTGCTTTCTCCTTCATCATATTCTGCATCAAACATCTCCTTCAATTTTCTCTTCTTATCCAAATGTTTTTTCTTGGCACTTTCCTCTGGGTCAATTTCCTCCTTAATTTCTTCCTCTACATCTTCAACCTTAAATTTCCAGAAAAGAAAATTTTGTAAAAGTTTGTGGAGATCTCTTTTTTTAAACTTAAGGCAGATTTTAAAAGTTCTACTTGAGCTTCAGAAAGCTTAGTTATGATCATGAAAATAAAACAAAACACAGTCTTCAGCTCTAAATAACATGCATTGCTATAAGAGACATTTAGACATCTGCATTACAATTAACTGCCATTCCTTAATCTGTCTGGGATGCCAAAAAGTAAATAACAGCAAATGTCCCCAACCCAGATACTGTTCTAAGGAAATCTTAAGGCGAACTGGGAATAAGTTTTTCCAAATGGCACCTAAATTTAAGAAGAGGAGAATGATGGCAGCAGGAATGGTGAAGAGGAAGACAGTGACTCAGGAGCTAAAACTTTCAGTAACTGAAGAATCGTGACAATAAGAGGTAATAGGTATTAACCAAAAGATCAGTAACAAATAAACCAAGAACCTCTGGTCTGTCCCCACCCTCCATTGTTTACAGATAAACAAGATATGAATTTCTCAAAATAGACTCTATTCAGATCAAGGACCCGTGGCTGGCAGCAGGCCAGGCCAAAGTCATACCTGAGTGCCCATGCCTGGTTTTCCCTTGTGCACGTCCCCTGTTTCCAGGTCTTCAAAGTCTCCATAGAGCTCATCTGGAAAAAGAACACCCACATGGCTGCTCTGTGAGTAGGGTCTGCATGTGACACTCTAGTACCACCCAGCACCGGGTACAGTGCATTCTGCTTCCCTAACTTCATTTTTACTGTTCCTCTTGCTACACATCCTGCCCTTGCATAGACTTCTCTTTTTATTACATTATATCATCATCTGTTTAGGTTAAGTAAACACACCCAGTCCACATTTCCATACTTCACTTTGACATCCCACATAGCCAAGAGCCATGTTCCCAGTGTAGGTAATAGGGATTAGGCAGGGATGCACAGAGAAGGCTTGCATGGCCCTGCAGGTGAGACCCTAAAACAACAGTTCAAAGAGTAACGATAGGAGGGAGGTGGGGATGGGAAGAAGGTGAAGGGATTAGGAAGTATAAATTGGTAGTCATAAAATAGTCACAGGGATATGAAATACAGTATGGGGAATAGAATCAATAATGTTGCAAAGACTATGTAGGGTGTGAGATGGGCACTGGACTTATCAGGGGGATCACTTCATAGACTGTAGATGCCTGACCACTGCGTTGTACACCTGAAGCTGAAGTTGAACAATATTGAATGTCAACTATAATTAAATACCAGGGGTGCCAAAAAAAATGTATACAAGTGGACACTTTGGTCAATGTTGCTCAAGCAGTAGTTCACTATAATCAGAAGTGTCTGGACACTGATGATAACCACTTTGAGCACTCTTGTAATTGCAGAAGTCAAGCGTGACTTGTATTCATCTTTTGTTATCGGTATATATTATTACAATTTTAATATAGTTTTCCTTTCTTACAATGTGTATACATTTTTTGGCACCCTCTGTATATATGGTCACAGATGTAAAATACAGCATAGAGAATATAGGCAACGGTAATGTAATAGCTATGTATGATGTCAGAGGGGTAGTACACTTGGGGGGGGCGATCACTTTGTGAGGGGTGTAAATGTCTAATCATTATGTTGTTTTTTACACCTGAAACTAATATTAAAAAAATGAAAAAAAAGTAACTTGAGAAGCCACTTAGATAATAATAGCACATTTGAAAAAGAGTCTCAACAGTAAGATCAACACAACATAACCATGTGACATACCTAGGGAAAACCTTAAGATTACATAAAAGATATCATTTAGATTACATAAAATAGTGCTAAGCCCACATGAAGAGCTTGCTCATTCATTCATTCAGTTTTGGAGCTCTAAATTTAGTTATGGGTCTTACCCTTAACAGAAATAGACCAGTTCAAACTCCTCTGGGAGACAACTTTAGAAGGGTATTAAAACATTTTCACATAAGAAAGAGCCAAGAACCAAAGAGCCAAGGAATATATAAAAGATGGGAAGATTTCATTGTAATAAAAACAAAAAGGGATAACATACTTAGGAATGAATATGAAATGTGCTGGATCTTTATTCTAAAAACTGTAAGAGCTTTAATATGGTACCAAGGACCCAGGGAATAACACTAGTGAACACTTTTCAGTGCTTTACCTGCCTTACCTATGTATGCTATGTTCCTCAGCATGGCCCAATGAAGGAGGCATTATTAATATCACCTGCTGAACAGATGAAGACTGCCGTGTGTTAGGAAAGGAAGACTCAGTATCAGGAAGACACCAACCCTGCCTTTGACACAGTTACAAGAGAAATAACCACCAAGGATTTCTGATCTGGAAGAGAGGATATATACACATTTCCTTTGTTGCTATCAACTACGTATAACTATCAACTCCAGAAATAACACAAGAGCCCAAGAGACAACCAAAAGTGAACTCTGAAAGGTGGAAAGAAAAAGATGGGTTGGCAATGGTCCCCAGCACTAGAGAAATGACATAGTGGCCACTGTCTCACTATACCACACCCTACAGAAAGGCGACTCCAAGTCAGTGTTCCCAACCCAAAAGCTAGCAATAGAGGGAAGCCCAGATAGGCTCATCCTTCCTCCCAGATCAAACTGACTTCACCAGCAACACCAGGTACCCTGAGCAGCAGTGGCAAAAAACATGGATCAGGAACCTCGTGACAATAAGCGATGAGGAAAAGTGCTCACCTTCCCTAAGGAACCTCAATGTCCTTTCCTTCACCAAGATATACGTACCAGGTGACCAAGGGTTATCGGCAAGGGGGGATTCTACCAGCCATGAGACTCTCTTCCTCCACCTAAAACAATGTGTATCTGGGACCAGCAAAGGAGATCCCCCACAAGAAGCAAGCTGGCTACATAAGCCAAGGCAATCTTCCCTCACCTACCCGTATCAGATGGCCCAGGCTGGGGAAGCTCCTCTGTTCCCTCAGGGGACCGGTGGTACCAGATAAATGAAGCAGACCAGCACAGCACTGCAAAGGCTCTCAAATTCAATTGTCATTGGAACCCCAGCCCACAAAGTAGGCCAGGACCTGCACACAACTTAAATAGGATGATGCCTGCTAAAATGTAAAAAATTACACAGGGCTGAGAGTATCCTAACATAATAAACAAAATGTATAGGATACAACAGAAAATCACCTGTCACATGCACAACCAGGAAAACTGTAGTAATTTGAATGTGAACAGACAACTGATTGACACCAACATGAAAATGAGCCAGCCATTGGAACTATCTGACTAGTACCTTAAGCAGCTATTATAAAAATACTTCAGCAAGTAAATGCAAACCCTATGGCAACAACCAAAAAACTGAAAACCTCAGGAAAGAAATTGAAGAACCAAAGGAAATAACAGAATTGAAAAATACACTAACAGAAAAGAAAGGAAGAAAGAAAGAAAGAAAGAAAGAAAGAAAGAAAGAAAGAAAGAAAGAAAGAAAGAAAGAAAGA